GCAATGCCAAGCAATGCCAAGCATTGCGCCCATGCAGTAGGACACTTTCCCGAAATTGGGGTCGCGCGGGGTTCATTTTTCTTTCGTCCGTGCTTCCTCGGGCTCCTGTGGGACAGTCTTGGGGGTTCCTTGGGCGATTTTGGGCCGTCTTGAGTCTTGGGGCCCGGTTGGGTGTCTGACCGAAAGCTTTCTGCCATTGCTGGAAGGGGTGAGGGGTTCAAGCCCCCCCCTCCCCCTGGGAAAGTATTCGGAAGTATTCGGGGGGATCCAGAACCCCCCACCGCTCCCCGACAACGACGACGACGACGTCGACGTCGCCGCCGCCATCACATAACGCGGATGACGACGACGCCGATCACGACGCCGACGACCACGACGACGACGATGACGAGGACGAGGACGAGGACGTCGACGACGACGACGACGACGACGACGGGGGACGACGAGGGACGACGACGGACGACGCATGACGACGACGACCACGACGTTCACGACGCCGACGCCGACGACGACGACGCCGCCTCAGACGACGACGATGACGACGACTTCGACGTCGACGACGATGACTTCGACGACGACGACGACGAGTACGACGACGCTGGCGACGATCGAGCCCCAGTGGGTGTGCTTAAGATTGTATCGATCCCCAATCGGGTCCATGCAATATGGACCGAGCCCGATCAGGATTTTATAGGAGCTGGATCCAGACCTAGTAGGATTATATCAAAGATGGACCAAGCGCTAGGAGGACTTTCTAATTTAAGTTTGGTGAGTTTTCGCATCCATTTGGTCGAGTCTTAATCGACTTCCATCGGTCCTGTTTCCAGCCCTGATGCGTTTTTATTCGATCTGGACCCAGCCGTAGCTTGATTCTAATTGATTGAGCTTGCTCGAGCCTGATCAGTAGTCTATCAGAGCTGGATTCAGCTCTAGTAGGACCTCCAGTAGGATTTCATCAGAGCTGGGTCGCACCCGCGTAGGATTCTCAGAGTGCTTGATCGACCCCTACAAGTTTTCACTAGAGCTGGATGGAGACCTAGCAGTATTTTGTTCGAGCTGGATCGAAGCCTAGTAGCACTCGATTCGACCCTGATCCAGTGCTATAAGAATTCTGTTCGAGCTAGATCCAGCCTCAGTAGGATTTCGATTCAAGCTGGATCGACCCTTAAGGATATTTGTCTGAGCTGGATTCGGGCATATGTGGTTCGATTTGATCTGGATCGAACCCTAGAAGGGTTTCTGTCATGGATAGATGCACCCCGAATGATATTGCATTACACTTCGTAAGACTCTATGAGAACTGGATCCAATAAAGCTGGATCCAGCCGTAGTCGGACTCTGTGAATGCTGGATCGACCCCCTTTAGGGTTCAAGCTGGGCTTGATCGAACACGGAATTGACTCTATGAAAGCTGGATCCCGCCCTGGTAGCAGGATTGCATTCGAGCTGGATCGAGCCGTAGTAGGGTTCTGAGAGAGCTGGATCTAGCATTCTATCAAGGCCGGCGCCCAGTGCAGGCGCTGGCGACATGTGCGCCGGCACCGCCGCTGTCGTCGTCGCCGTCGTCGGAGTCGTCGTCGTCGCTGCCAGGAAGGAGGGGTTTCTGGAACGCCCGAGTGATTTTCCATGGGGGGATCCGAAACCCCCCCGGTTCCTTGCGAGGGGTGGGAGTGGGGAGGGGGGTTGCAGAGGAGGCTTCGTTGTCTGAACTCACCGAGCGCGTTCCACTACTCGCAAAGTGCCTACTCGCAAACCGTCCGAGAAACACATGCCTGCCTTGATGTAATCTATCGTAGATCCCCCGCGGGGGATCCAGGCCATTTGCGAGTAGTTACTTTGCGAGTAGTGGAATGCGCTCGTCTATGAACATAACTGGTTCCCTCGTGTCCGCACCCTGCCTGTATCGGGGCCAGACCCGGCGGCTAGAACCCTGGAGGGCCTGGTGTCCTAACCAGGAATCTGCGAGTTTATCGGCCCTTGGTTTCTGATTCTTGGCGTCGCTCGGACGTGTGCATTTTTCCTTCGGCGAGGACCATTGAGGAGCATCCTTGATCATTTGACGAAAAACCACGCACGAAACCAAAAATCACAGGGAATGGACGTCCGAGCGCTGGCGAGGATTGCCCTCTTTGATCGTTCAGGAGGGAGAGCAACACGCAGACTCGCGTAAACGTCGGTTCCGAGGAACATATGTGGGGAGCTGGGAAAATCTGGGGGGGGGGAAGACGAGAGATCTCAGAAGATGGAAGAACGTGCGGGAAATCCTGGGATCTGTGTCTTTTTATTGGTGTGTCTATTTATTGTTACTATTATTATTGAATCGCTTCGCTCATTCCGCCGGCCCATTTCGCATGACTGAGCCTCTTGGGGCCGCTGGGGAGCCTCTTCAGCGTCGCTTGGGGGCCTCCTGAGGGCCTCTTGGGGGCTTTTGGGGCCTCTCAGGGGCCTCTTGAGGCCTCCTGGGGGCTTCTTAAGGCCGAGGGCTCGAAGTTTTGTTTTGTGTTCCCCCTTTGGGGCATCGCTTGGGGCCCTCTTGGGCCCCTCTTGGGCCGTCTTGGATGCCTCTGGGGCCGTCTTGGAGCCCTCTTGGGCCATCTTGGGGCCTTCTTGGGAGCTTCTTGGGCCCTCTTGGGGCGATCTTGGGGGCCTCTTGGGCCGTCTTGGGGCGTCGGGAAGCCGAAAAGATGGACACGCCAAAATCTGCCCAAAACCTAAGGACAAGTAATGAATTTTGCCTCTTGGGGCCCTCTGGGGAGTGCTCTTGGAGGCCTCTTGGGGCGTCTGGGGGCCATCTTGGGCGTCTTGGAACGATCGTGTGGCATCTCCGAGCACTCTAAAAACCATCTTGGAGGGCTCTTGGCGGCCTCGTGGCCATTCTTGGGGCTCTCTGGAGGGCCACGGGGGCGGCGCCCAGGAGGAAAACCATCTCTGACCCGAGTCTGCTGGGGATCGCTCGGGGTACTTTTCGTCCGGGGACCCCCAGGGTCCGCCCCGCGCGCGCGAAGCAGAAGTATTATTTGGCAGTTACCGGAGATCTTAGCACGCCTTTGGCCCGTTGGGCCGGCGAATTCTTCTTCCTCTTCTTATTGACATTTTTCGGGGGAGCGTAAGACCCGGGTTTGCCAGGACTCGGGTTCGCCATCGTTTTTTGACGACCGCGCCTCGGATTTTGACGAGGAGGAGTTTCGTGGGATGTCTGCAGCGGGAGGCCTCGTCAAAATGCAGGCTCGGCCTCGTCAATTTTTTGACGACCTCGTCGGGGATTTCCGAGTTCCCTGTACCCGGGTCTTACGTCCCCCTGATTATTCCTCTTCTTATTGGCATTTTGCTCAGGCCCGCGGCGGTGGACCGCGCTCCCTCGCCTGTCCTGTGGCCTCCTTGGGCGGCCCTCGGGCCCCTCGGGGCCGCCGTCTGGGGGGAGGCGTCTCCCGCGGCCGCGGCGGGGCCGCCGCGGCGGGGCCGCCGCTGGGGCCGCCAGCGGCCCCTCTGTAAGGTTGCAGCGGGCTGCTTGAACCAGGGGCACTTGGGGTCGGGCGAAGAGAACTATGCACATGCACCGATCCTGGCAAGGCCCATTTTTGACCCAGGATCGGTGCATATGCCTTCCTGGCCAAGGCAGGAGGGTGTATGCACCGATCCTGGGCTCAGGATGGGCCTGGCCAGAATCGGTGCATGTGCATAGTTCTTTTCCCTCTATTGGGGGGCCACAAGCGAACCCTACCCCTGCCCCCCACACGATTTCTGAGGGGGAGGGCGGGGTGGGGTTCCGCACGTGGCCCCCTGACATCAGGACATGCCCGGCCTAACCCTGAAAGGCCGTCGTGGGTCGCTCCAGAGGCCCTCTCGGGCCAGCGTGGGGCTCTTGTCCTGCGCCCTCGGGGGACCTCGCCCGTCCCCCAAATTGGTGTCTTCTCTTGTGCCCGACGCGGGCTCGATGCGGACTCGACGCGTGTTTGGCGTGGATTCGACGCGGATTCGACACGGATTCGACACGGATCCGACGAGGCCGACGTGGACGCGGATAGTGCCGCGACAGGACAGTTAAGGTCCCCCGAGGAGGCAACATGAGGGTTCTTTTGGGGACTTCTTGGGCCGTGTAGGGGGCCTTAGTCTGTCTTGAGTTCGTTTTGGACGATTTCTGGCTCTTTCGTGCCCTTTTGGGGACATCTTGGAGGCCTCTCAGGCCGTCTGGAACTAAACAGAGCACGACGAACAGTTGAAAACGCGAGCATTTTTCAAACACTTGGGCTCCTATTGTCGCCCTCTTAGGCTGTCTTGGGGGCCTTTCGGGCCGTATCCAGGTCATCTTTTGTTGGCCGTCTTGGAACCATCTTGGACCATCTTTGCGGTCTTGGCCACCTGCCTGAGCCGCTCTGGGAATCTTGGGGGCGCGGAGGCATCATTTTCACAGGGGGATTGGGCTTCGGTAGCGCGGATTGTGGCCGTGGAAGCGCGGACCAATAGTTCCGTTTGAAGGATTTAGGCCTCGGAAGCGCCGGTCCATTTTTTGTTGATGATCGTGACTACGGGAGCGCCGAGATATTGTTCCCTTATACGAGGGATCGTCCGCGGACGCGCGAGTCCATTGTTTTCTCGTGCTGGTGGATTGTGGCCGCGGGAGGAATACGGGTAGGATTATGGCCATGGGGGCGAGGATCCATCTTTTGTTCAAACACGCATCACGGCTTCGGAAGCGCGGAGCCACTGTTTCCTTCTTGTGCGAGGGATCGTGGCCTCGGGAACGCAGGCCTACAGGTTTTTACCTGGGGGTGTGGCGTTCGATGGGTCTTGGCCCCGTGAGCGCTGACGGTTTATTTTTTACAAGGGGTGGCCTTGGGAGGGGGGGGGGGGGGCGATGCGTGCAGAACTCCGCGAAAAGACGGGGAGGGGGCCCCTTAGACTACATGACAGAAACACTCTTAGATAGCACTTGGCATTCTACCACGCCCCAACATGCCAAGGGCCACGGTGACGGATTATATTTTACGCTCCGCCAGCAGGAGATGGTGGCGCCGAACTACACCAATTGCAACGTGAAGTGCGAAGAGCAGTTGACGTACGATGCAGACGACATCGGCCGGACAGGCTGGCATGCTGTACGACGTCGTCTCGATGCTGCTGCTGGTTGGCGCGCTGATCATGCCGACCGTGGCGTTCGTTACCCCGTTCCTCGCAATCGTTCCCGAGGGCTTCGATTGAGGCTCGCCCTTGGGAGCCGAGGTAGGAGGGGGAGGGAGAATAAGGAGGAGAGCGAGATGGCGAGGAGGAGGCAGCGCAGAACGAGGATGGATGATGGAGTTCAAAAGATGAGGTGGGCAAGGGAGGAGGAGGAGGAAGGAGGAGGAGGAGGAGGAGGAAGATGTAGAGGGGACAGGGTGAGAGGGGAGAGGGATGAGGATGAGGGAGAAGGAGGAGCAGGAGGAGTAGGAGGAGGAGGAGGAAGACCAGAGGGCAGCTAGGACGTACCGACGATAAAGCGCACACCCATTCCAAGTCCCCTCCTCGTGCGACTTTCCAAGTCAGAGTGAGGGGGCCGACTGGTCTTACATCATCCTTGGGTGCGTGCCTGAAGTGGGCTTCCGCGGTGAGGGTTCTTGCTGTTTAATACAGCCAGCGCGCATAGTCAGGACGCGCGTCTTTTCTAACGTATCCTTACGTCCTTGCCACTGAGTCCCGTCCTTTGCCGTTTTCCTTCGTCGCCCATCGCCCAAACATCCCAATTTCGGCCTCCAAAGGTCTTGCGTCCTTACCACCTATCCTTAATATACGTTTTCATTGTATCTATCGCTCAGAATTTGTTTATCGTTGGACCCCCCCCCCGCGTCCGCTTGTGCGCCCTCGCTTCGGCGCCTGCCGCGTTTGCTTTTGAAAGCGAGGCCCATGTACGGGCCTTTCGGCGTGGCGCCCAGGATCGATCGCCTTTCCTCAGCAGAAACGACGCTCCCTCCCGAAACTGAACTGCCTGATCTTTCCCCATCCGTCCTGCGGTGTTCAAGCCTTGGCTTTGAAGAGGCACAGGCAGCGCCCCGCGGCTCCTTCCTCTCCTCCGGATGCAACTCCTGGGATGCCAAATTCTGATTTAGCCTTGGTCCGAAATCCCGTCTCATCCGGCTTCATCCCGCTTGAGCCCGCTTAATCCCGCTTAAGCCCGCTTAATCCGGCTTAGTCCCGCTAGATCCGAGGCCCGTTTATTCCGGCTTCATCTTCCTCAATCCTTCCAGCGAAAATTTCCCAGTAGTTGCCTCCTAACTCTCCTCCTCCCCGCTCCCCCCTCCTCCCATCCCTGCCTCCACGCCACGCCACGCCGCGCCGCGCCTTTCGCGACCACGGCCACGCGGGGCTCGCCTCGCAAGTCGGCCCTCTCGGCGCTCCTCTGTGCGCTCCGTGGCCCCCGTAGGGGAGCTCCGCCGACTGCCCCAGCGGCGACGTCCGCGTGTGGGCGTCGCCCCCCCGGGGGTTCACCTTTAATTAGGTGTTTCCCAACTATCTTGTGGTGTTGGGTCTTCATTTTGAAGAGACAGCGCCCCGCGTCACCTCACCTCACTCGCGCCCCTCCTCCCTCCTCCCATGGCTGCATCTGACCTTCACATGCCCATGTCGGCACACCCCTCACACGCTTCGTGGCCCCATGAGGAGCTCCATTGAAGGCCCCAGTGGCTACGTTCGCAAGCGGGCGTCACGCCCGTTTCGGCGCTCCTGGGGAGGGCTCCTGGGGGCCGCCTGGGGCAGCCTCGACGCCTCTTGCGGCCGAGGGTTCGAAGTGCCCATCGGGCTTCCTCCTGGGCACCCTCTTGGGGCCTTCCTGGGGCTCCCTCCGTCCGTCATTGGATGCCTCTGGGGCCTTCTTGGGGCCCTCTTGGGCCGTGGTGGGGTTCTCTGGGAGGCCTCTTAGGCCGTCTTGGGGCGATCTTTGGGGCCTCTGGGGCGGTCTTGGAGCGTGGGGAAGCCGAAAAGGGGAGAACGCTGAAAACCTTCAAAAGCAATGGTAAATCGCTGATTTTTGCCAGCAAGGGGCTTCTTGGGACTGGTCTTGGAGGCATCTTTGGGCGTCTTGGAGGCGGCTGAAGCCGTTTCGAGACTATCTTTGGCATTCTGAAACGACTTCTGGTGCTTCTGGGACCTCTGAGACCGCCTTGGGGGCCTCTTGAGACGCTCTTGAAGGCCCTGAGGGCAGCCCCCAGGAGTTCCGGCATCCGTGATGGGGACCGCCCTTGGGCGCCGCGTAATGGGGGGGTCATAAATGGGGGGGTGGCGAGCGTGGTCCGAAAAGGTACCCAAACGGTACCTAAACGAGCCCCCTGGGGCTCTGGAGGGGCCCGAAAGGGGCACGAAAGGTGACCTTTTCTGACCCCCCCATTTGTGACCCCCCCATTAAGCCAAGCCCAACGCCCGAGGACCGCACGGGATTTGCATGGGATACTACTCGTCGGGGGGCCCAGGGGCAGCCGCGACAAGTATTCTAAAGCTGTACCGGAGATTTCTGCACGCCTTCGGCCCGTTGGACCCGCGAGTTGTTGTTGAATTCCCATCCCCGAAGAAAAATTATTGTTGCCCCCCCTGGGTTGATTTGCGTTTCCCAACTATCTTATTGTGCTGGGTCTTCATTTTGAAGAGACAGCGCCCCGCGTCACCTCACCTCACTCGCGCCCCTCCTTCTTTCTTTCAGACGCCTCTAGCCACACCGTGACAGGCCACCAAACAGAAATTGAGGGTTAAAAGTTGCGCTGAACTCTGCCGTGCTTTGCCGTGCAACCCTGATGAATCAGCCGGGATATCGAACAGACTGCGTCCTCTAAGGCCATAGCTTCCGCAGTGAAAGATGAAACAGGCGGATGAATGTACGTGCCGCTCATTGCGATTGGGAAAATGTGGCGACGGCCGTCGCGCAAGACCATCGCTTCGGCGAACCAGGCTCCAGCTGAGCAGGAACCTGCGCGGGTTCCCCCATCAGAATGGATGATAAAATTGGCTTCGGGCACACAACAATCTTCCAGGGTTGGCGCGACGTCTTTCCGCCAGCCGGTGCCCGAATCCAAGGTGTGATTCACAAGAAAATCAGCGATGCGATTGTTCTCGCGTCGGGGCCAAACGATGGGATCCCCCGCCTGAGATGCCGGAGACCATCCAGCGTCAATTAACTTGAAAATCTGGCCGGTGATCCTTTCAAACACCGGTGTGAGCCTGGTTGAATTCAACGGCGCGTGCCCGCATGCCACTTCAGCTAGAGGTTTACAGTCCACCACGAAGACGAAACAATTGCATATACGGTCAAACTCGATGACGGGCGGTTCGTCTCCATGTTGATCCGGGCATCCATCCAAGCTGTGATGAAGAAACTTTCTGCGCTTGTTGAGGTTGGCCGGAATGTCTGCATGGACGTCTTGTGCGTGTTGGCCACGGTTAGGGAGTTGCCACTGCGTGCGAACCAAAGCTTTGAATTCGTCAAGATGCTTATTCCAAGACTCATATGAATCGCACTTGTCGCATCTCAGACGCCACTCTGTTCCGAAGGCGGTGCAGAACATGTCCTCCCACTCGCGCCGATAGCCGAATCCCGCATGCACGATGCCCTCCGCCCGGCGCTCCTTTTCGAAATCCCTGACCGTTTCCCAAAAGAGCCGGTTGCGGTAAGCCCGTGCCACAGCAAGGTATTTGTTCCACCAGGCGATGTAAATTGCCGTTCCCGCCACGCCTCGTCGAAAATGGCACGCAACACCTTGTGATGAATAGGGGCGTGGCCGTGCGAAACAAACCAATTTTGAACCATGTGCGAAGTACGATAATTGTAAGACATATACCCTTCATTAGGTCGCCGCCGCAGCCGAAGAGCCTCCCGAAGCATGCCGTTTTCCCAAAATCGTAGACGGACAAGGTGGTGTTTAGATATGTGAAAAGACCCGCAACAAAACAAACTGGATGCCACTGGAGCCGTCGACCACGCGCGTAATTTATAGGATACCGGCCCATGTGCAGATAAGATACGGTAGTGCTTCCAACAACATGTTTCTCCATTAGACAAGCGGTGTTCCAAACTGACTTCGGTATCCCCTCGAGGATCGAACTTGATACCCATAAGCATCATGAATTGGACTGGTTTTACAACTGTGGTGCTGGAGACGAGCACGGACTGATGTTGACGATGGGCGGTGTCGCGCAGACTACCGCACAACATGTATTCTGATGGGATGGCCTTCCAACGAAACCCAAAATCTTCGATTGCAACGGTGATATCGCGCATCATGTCCGTGAACTGCTCAAGCGACTCGCTGAAAATGATGATGTTGTCGGCCCAAACGAGGTGGGTTATTCGCTGGTTCTGCGGTTGGCCGTCGTTCAAAGCGAAACCAAAATCCTTCGTCCCCATGTTTTGACGACGGGTTCCATGAGGTACTCGATCATGCAATTGAACACGTCCGGCGTGTCGTTGCCGCCTTGCTTGCCGCCCCCCTCGAGTGGAAAATCGTCAGAGAATCCAGCTCCAGGAAACTCGATGCGACAAGACTTCCCGCTAATTTCAACCATCAAGGCTTTCGCCAGCTGCGGGTGCATGCCCCTGCCTAGTAGAGACTTCAGCATGCTGTCGTGGCGCATGGTGTCGAAGGCAGTGGCGATGTCCGAAGAACCAAGGACAAGAGGCCGGCCCCACCTGTACGCAATGAAGAGCGTCTGTTGCACGATGGACGCGACGTCACCGCATCGGTACCCAGGGCGGAAGCCCAAAGTTTCCACAAGGCATGGTTGAGAGACCTTCTTAACGGACCTTGCAAACAACGAGTGTACCACTTCAAGCAACAATCCAATTTACCAATCCACCGGTATGATGAAAGTGACTTGCTCGAGGCTTCTTTGGGGAGGCCCGTGAGCTCCATGGTATCCCAAGTGGCAGGCGACGCCGCAACGTCGCCGCCGTATCTGGCCTGGAACTGCTCCCAAAAATCGCGGAGTAGCACATGCGGTACACCTTTGTATACCTCGGGTGGGATTCCGTCTGCCCCTGCCGCCGTATTGTTGCGTAGAGCGGCACGTGCTGAAAGTACCGAAAATGGTGTCAGAGGAGGCGGCGGAATTCCATCAAGGCGTAAGCCTTTCACACAGCCCTCTAACCGGTCTAGACGCTCACGTTGTACTGTCCAGGTATTGTCTGCACAACCGAATCGGGCGCGGTCGAACTTCCAAGCCTCGTGCAACCACTCCTGCCGGTCCGTGGAGTCCACGCCGTCCACCTGGAGGGTATGGGGGGTCCGTGAAGATTCCGGTCGTCTGCTCATGGCTAGGAGTCTGCTCTGATGTTTATCTCGAAGGTGGTTGCGCTTCGCACGTCTCAGGGCCAAGACGGCTGCTCGTCGACCTTCGGCAGGTGCTTGGCCGACGGCGGTTTTAGCAGCCTTCAGCGTTGCGTTTCGGATCGACCTATATGTTGCCTTCTTCTGAGCCCGGGTGTCGAAAGAAATCTCGCGAGCGCTCTGGGCGACTCCACTTTGCAACGATACCAAATCGGAGCATCGGAGGTTGAGGCAATTGCGCTGGAACCTATCCAAATCCGCGGGTGTACGCTGCGTCCAACCTGTCATGCGCTTCTGGCACGCGTGTGTAATATTGAGCGGCTCTGGAATATAAAACCCTCCAACGACCAACCTGTGATCTGATCGTGAAAACACCTTGTGTCGCATCGATCGGGCCCTCGACGTACCAGCGATGCCGCTAGACACGAAGAGGAAATCTATTTGCGACCTCGTGGATTTGTCGGTGCCGGCCATGCGGGTCCAAAGGCTGCATCTGACCTTCACATGCCCATGTCGGCACACCTCTCACACGCTTCGTGGCCCCATGGGGAGCTCCACCCAAGGCCCCAATGCCAGGGTCCGCATGTAGGCGTCACCACTGTTTCGGCACACCCCTCACACGCTTCGTGGCGCCATACGGAGCTCCACGCACGGCCCCATTGGTAGGGTCCGCATGTGGGCGTCACCGCTGTTTCGGCACAGCCCTCGCACTTTTCGTGGCCCCCACAGCCAGCTCCACAGAAGGTCCGCAGTGGCAGGGTTTGCATGTGGGCGTCACCACCTCGGCACACCCCTCCAATGGTCCGTGGCCCCAGGGAGCCCCACGTAATTAAGGCCACAGTGGCGGGGTCTGCACGTGGGCGTCACCACTGTTGCGGCACATCCCTGACACGCTTCGTGGCCCTATAGGGAGCCGGCCGGGTCCGCATGTGTGCGTCACCACAGTTTCGGCACATCCCCACACGTCTCGTGGTCCCACGAGGAGCTCCACCCGAGGCCCCAGTGGCAGGGTCCGCATGTAGGCGTCACCACCGTTTCGGCAGATCCCGCACATGTTCCGTTGCCCCATCGGGGGCTCACCTGACACAATATTTGCTCACATCTGCATATGGAAGGTCTTTCGCCAGGATAGTTCTCGGGGGTGGATTTCATGGCGGGGGCCATGAAATTTCCCGAGATTTCTTGGCGTCTCTTCTTGTTTTAATGCGTCCCTGGCCCCCCCCCTGGGCCGCGCAAATGCCGCCGGCCATGATTTGCACCCCCCCTCTTGGATTTCCCCTCGTGGCCGCCCCCGAAGTTCAATTGAAGTGTTCTCCTCCGCTGAAGTAGTTGTGCTGATTCCATGCCTGATTGCATGGCGTTCGGAGAGCACCATACTTGTTTTTAGTATGGTGCTTGACAGAGAAGAAACTGTCCTTCTTCCTGTAGGGTCGCGAAGCCGCGTGGCGAACCACTACTTTTGCCTCGCGGCTCTCATGGCGCCTCCGGAAGCAGACGATGGCAGTCAGAAGAGCCCTCGTGGGACGGAGACTCGAAGTCATGGATAGTGTACCACAGCAGAACTTTCCAGTAGGGCGAGTCAACTAGTTAGCGGGAAGGCTACTTGTGTGGGCCCCGACTCGCGGTTCGTCTCACCCGGCGTGCAAATTCGGCGTTCGACAGGTGCAACAGAGGATGGCTGTCGCCCGAGTGCGGCGTCAGGAAAACCTTTTTGGCATCTTCGGAGCAGACATAATGCGAGGAAAGCTCCCTCCGAAGTCGGACAGCAGCTGGAAGCCTACCTGGTCCAGACGCCGCCGACAAGAAGAACCCACGGCCCCGTGGGCCGGCCGACGCCTGACGGGCGCCGTACCCGAGGGAAGCTCGGGCCAGAGCCGCGGGACTACCGAGCGTGCAGCAGAGGCCACTGGCACCATCCAAAACCACAGCTTGGCGCTGGACGGAGCCAGGAAATGAGGAGCGCTGGGAGTGCGGCCATACGTCCTCGTTGCTACAGGAAGCTTCTGAAACGACTGGGCGCGGCGCCGAGGCGAGAGCCGCATATTGAAATCGATTGGCCTGCCGTTATTGTGTCTGTTACAGTTGTAGTTCCCAACCATCCTGAGGTGCTGGGTCCTCGTTTTAAAGAGACAGCGCCCCGCGTCCTCCTCCCTTCCTTCCCATCCCTCCTCCCATTCCACTTCCCTTCCCTCCCCCCATCCCTGCCTGAGCCGTCCGCATGCCCACACCCCTCCCACGTTTCGTGGCCCCATACAGAGGCGCCATCCACATGGGGTCGTCACGCCCTTTCGGCACACCCCTTGCACGTTTCGTGGCCGCGCAGGGAGCTCCACATCAGGCCCCCAGTGGCAGGGTCTGCATACGGGCGGCACGTCACGCCCGTTTCGGCACACCCCTCACACGTCTCGTGGCCCCTTGGGGGGGGCTCCATCCCAGGCCTCATTGCCAGGGTCCGCATGTGGGTGCCACGCCTGTTTCGGCACCCCCCTTACATGCTTCGTGGCCCCACAGGGAGCCCTGCATAAGGCCCCCAGTGGCACGGTCCTGATGTGGGAGGCGCCATGCCCCCTCCGGCACAAGCCCAACGCGTCTCGTGGCTGTACTGGGAGCTCCACCCAGGACCCCATTAGCAGGGTTCGCATGTGGGTACCACGTCCGCTTTGGCACCCATCACACGTTTCGTGGCCCCATTCAGAGCTTCGCCGAAGGCCCCAGGGGCACCGTACACATAGGTTCTCTGCGCCCTTTCCGGCACACCCTTTGCACGCTTCGTGGCCCCATAGGGAGTTCCACCTGAGGCCCCATGAGCACCGTCCACAAGGGTACGCCACCCACGGCCGTTTCGGCACACCCCTCAAACGTTTCGTGGCTCCATATGATGAGACCCCACAGAAGGACCCAGCGGCACCGCTCACATGTGGTCTCCACGGCCGTTTCAGCACACCCCTCACACGCTTCGTGGCTTTATATGGGCCCCACATGAGGTTTGCAGTGGCAGAGTCTACATTTGGGTGTCACGCCTTTCTCGGCACTCCCCTAACGCATCTCGTGGCCCTATATGGGGGCTCCACCAACGGCCCCAGAGGCACCGACCACATTTGGGCGTCAATTCCCTTTTCGGCACACCCCTCATATGCCTCGTGGTCTCATGCGGGGGCTCCACCGAAGGCCCCAGAGGCACCGTCCATATGTGACCGCCACCACCGTTTCGGCGGGCACTCCACCGGAGGCCCCAGCGGCATCGTCCACATGTGGGTGTCACGCCTTTTTCGGCACACCCTTAACACATCTCGTGGCCCTGTACGGGGGTTCCATCGACGGCCCCAGAGGCACCGTCCGCATGTGCGCGGCACGCCCCTTTCGGCATACCGCTCACACGTTTCGTGGCCCGACATGGGACTCCACCGAAGGCCCCAGCGGCACCGCCCACGTTTGGGCTGCACGCCTGTTTCGGCACACCCCTCGGACGTTTGTGGCCCCAAAGGGGGCCCCACCGAAGGCCCGTCAAGTCCCTTTTGGTACACGCTTCGTGGCCCCATCTGGAGTTCCACTGAATGCCCCAGAGGCATCGTCTACACGTGGACGTCACCCCCGTTTAGGGTCACCCCTCACATGCGTTGCGGCTTCATAGTGGGCCCCACCGGCACCTCAGAGGCACCGCTCATATGCGGGCGCCACACCCGTTTCGGCACACGTTTCACACGTTCCGTGGCCCCACTGGAACCCCACTTCAGGCCCAATATGCACCGTTCACATGTGGGTGCCACGCCCCTTTCGGCACACCACTCACACGTTTCGTGGCCCCCAAAAGAGCTCTACCTAAGGCCCCAGAGGCACCGTCAACATGTGGGCGCCACGCCATTTCCGGCACACCCCTCACACGCTTCGTGGCCCCATAAAGGGGCCCCACCGAAGGCCCTAGGAACACCGTCAGAATGTAGGCCTCACGCCCGTTTCGGCACACCCCTCGCACAGTTCGTGGCTTCATAGGAAACTTCACCGATGGCCCCAGCGGCACCGTCCATAGGTGGGCCGCACGCCTGTTTCGGCACACCCCTCACACGTTGCGTGGCCTCGGCCCCAGAGGCTCCGTCCACATGTGCGCGGCACGCCCTCTCGGCACACTAGGGAGCTCCTCCCAAGGCCCCAGAGGCGCCATCCACATTTGGGCATCACGCCCGTTTTGGCGCACCCCTTAAAGTTTCGTGGCCCCAGACGGGGGCTCCACCGACGGACCCATAGACGCCGTCCGCATGTGGGCGTAACACCCGTGCCTGCGCACCCCTCACACGTTTCGTGGTCCGATATGAGGTTCCACCGAAGGCCCGAGAGGCACTGTGCACACATGGGCGTAACGCCCGTTTCGGACCACCCCGCACACTTCGTGGACCCACAGGGAGCTCCTCCAAAGACGATGCTCGACCCCAAAGGATCTGGTTGGGCCGTTGTCCATAGCATTTTTCCGCCTCAGGAAAGTGTCCCATGCGACACGTCCAATCCAGGACTGCAGAAAGGCTTGGTGGTGCGAGGAAGAAGGATGGAGGATGTGGAGGAGGAGTCGGAGGCATCCTGAAGGATCCCAAATGTAGCCACGACGTGGCGTCCAGGCACGAGGCACGGGGCGGGCCCGCAGGACACAAGCCTTCGGATGCACCTCCTCCGACCGCGGCCCCCCAGGCCACACCCGAAGACCCTGCGCCTGAACGCGCGCTACACTGCCGCACGCGGGCCGTGTTCACGACGGGCGTACTCGTGCACATAGTCACGAATCGGGTGACGAATTCGGCGCCTCCGGCGCACCGCATGCCAGCTGATGAGGAGCCCCGTGGACCACGAGGGGACTGATGCCGCGACTTTGTGCGGCCTGAAGCGCCCGCTCGGCCAGCACCACGGCGACGATCCCGGAGACGCTCGCCCAGTGAATTCTAAGTCTGGCGCCTGGGGGTGATTGTTCTCCCCCTTCGCCTCCGCCCTCTTTCCCCTCCTCCCCGTCTCCCCTTCCTCCCCACAGTCTCTGTTTCTGTGTTTGGTTGTGTTTTGTTTTGGTTTATTGTATTTTGTCTTATTTCTGTGTATGTGTGTACCTGAGGTTTGCATGTTTTATGTTCGGACGCTTCCTCAACGCATTTATCACACGCACATCCCTATATACATATATATATATATGCACATACCATCTCCGCATGTATACGTATACGCGTGAATGCATGGATGTATGTGTATGCCTGCATGTATGTATGTGTGTGCTTGCACGGGAAGGTGAGGGGTATTGCTTCGGGTGATGTCTCCTTGTTGCCATAATCTATGCTCAAGCCTCTCTTCTCTCGTCAGAGGCGCCCATGGGACCTGCCGACGGCCGCCCCCCGATCGCGGTCCTCGCGGTGGCCCTCGCCTGGGCTGGCTGGCGCGCCGCCGAGGTCGGCCTGCTGCCCGAGGGTCTGCTGGGTGTTGGCGGGCCGCCGCCCCCGCCGCCGCAGCCCGACGCCGACGCGGTGTTGGGCGGTGGCGATCCCGAGGGCTCGCCCGCCTGGGTGGAGGCGGTGTGCCCAGTGGTGCCCCAGTGCCCAGCCTGCCCGGCCTGCGTCTGCCCGCAGGTGGAGCTGCAGGGCCCGTCGCCGGAGGAGCAGGCTGTGTGGCTGCTGCTACCGCCCGTGCTCACCAACCTCTTGGGCGTCGTGGTGGGCCGCTGTTGCGTGCGAGGCCGATCCGCTGCGGTAAGGCATGGCGCGCCTCCCGCTCGACGTGGAGGCGGAGTGGTACAGTGAGCTGGTTTTCGGCCAGTACGGGGCCGTGGAGTACGACCGCGACGGCGTAGATCACAAGAGCAGTTTGCTCCATCTTCTCGGCGATGACGTTTGGCGGATCGGTGGGCCAGACGGCGATGAGTACTTCCAGGACGATGGCAGCCAGGGCTATTCGGACGACACCGTGTCCGCCAGAGTGGTGCATCTGCCAGTCGAGGTAGGCGGCGATTCGCGGTTGTGGCTCGATGAGTACCTTCGAGAGATGGGTTTGGCCACCACGGATCGTGCCGCCCACGTGTCACGTTGTATATGCGAGGAAGGGTATCTGGCGTGCGGCTGCGACCAGGTGAGTCTGGGTGCTCTGACGGCGCTGGAAGTTTGGTGTGAGCGACTGGTAAGCTTCGTGGCGGCTCACGCTCATCCGCACGTCGGGCCGTGGGAGGTGGCGAAGTATTACGCTGACGTGCAGCCCACCGAGGTCGCTGCAGGCTCAGTGACGTGGGTCCCTGTGGCACGCAGGCTGCACGAGGATTGCGAGGGCTTGCAGGCCCGCTGCGGAGCCCCCTCTCGCGGGCTGGCAGGCGGCCCAGGCGCATGCGGCGGCGGCGGCAGCGTGGGCAGCAGCGCTGGAAGCGAGGGCACGGGAGGCGGGGGTGGTCGCGGACGCGGTGACGGCAGCAGAGGCCGAAACCGCGGTGTCGACACCCCCTGGGGCCCATGACGGCTCCGCCGGCCAGGGGCCCCCCCGACCCTGGTCGGTTTCAGGGGGCTGGCGGCCGCCCCAGACTGGCGGCCTCGCGGGGGCAGCGAAGCCTCTTTCCGCTCCCTCTGGTGCCGTTGGATTCGGTGCGCCCGGGGCGCGGCAGTGATCGCCTTGTGATGGTGAACGACGCGCTGAAAGCACTGAACTGGATGGCAGGCTGGAAGGAGTTTTTGTGGGCGAATCGCGGCCCAGACGGCCTGCCCGATGACGTGCAGGCGGACGTCCAGCGGAGGGTGTGTGAGTTGGTTGATAGCTGGCACCCGCGCCCTCCGCCTCTCTGCGACGAGGCGGCTCTCAAGAAGTTGCTTCAATGACATTCCCCATATCAGGCTGCGGGGTGTCCGACAAGGGTCACGTCCTTCAAGCTCGACCTCCTGGGCCTCCCTGGCTCTGTCCGAGGGTGTCCACTGATCACGGACGTGGCGCCCTTAGAGGTTATCGGATTTCTGGAGGACTATCGCGAGCGCATGCTGGCGCCGCCCGTTGAGAAATGCGAGACGGTCCCCTACTTCGATCCCAAGCTACGTTCTAATCAGCAAGAATATCATCGGCTCCTCCGCCGTTCGGCGGACATTGGCATCATTACTTGGACCAGTTCCCCGAAGTGCAATGTGGGTCTCTTCACGGTGGAGAAGGATGGCGGCGCAGCCCAGAGGTTGATCGTCGACGCCAGGCGGGCCAATGAGCGCTTTCAGGCGCCGCCCGGGGTGTCGCTCCTGAGTTCGGAGGGCCTGTCGAGAATAGAGGTGGAGCTGCCCGCTAGCGCGCCGCTGGGGCCCGAACAGGCCGCAAAGTTGTTTGAGGATTTCTGCCTCTCGATCGGCCTCTCGGACGTCTCGAACTGTTTCCACAGGTTGCGCGTGCCAGCTTGGCTGTCTGATTATTTCTGCTTCCCTCCTGCGCCGGCTCACGTGATGGGCGCGGCGGGCGCGGAGGTTAACGGGCGTGTTCTTGGCCGCGCGGAGGCAGTGACACCGTGCTGGGCTGTGCTCCCCATGGGCTTCACCTGGAGCCTATGGATCGCTCAGATGATCAACGAGACCACCGTGACCACGGTGACGTCCTCTCTGCCTGGACCCCCTCTGCACGATCGCGGACCGCCGCTGGCGGTGAGACCTGCCCTGGGGGAGGAACGCAACACGCTCAGCCACTATGTGTATGTAGACAACCTCGGAGTGATAGGCGTCTGTGAGGCCGCAGTTGGCGACGCGCTCGAGCAGCTGGAGGAGGGCTTCAACCGCGAGGGGCTGCTGCTGCACAAGTCGGAGCGCTCACGCGGCGGCATCGTCGCGCTCGGCGCGGGGCTCGACGGGGCGGCGCTGCGGACGCGCGTCACGCCCAAGCGATTCTGGAACACATACCAGGCTTTGGGTGCGCTGCTGCGGCGCCGGCGGGCCAGCGCGCGGGCGCTCGAGGTCGTCTTGGGGCACTGCGCGTTTGCCGCCTTGTGCTGCCGAGGCCTGCTCAGTGTTTTCCATTCGGCGTATGCCTTCGTGGAGCGGGGCCGCGCCTCAGGACGGGCAGAGCCGCTGTGGGACGAGTGCCGCTCCGAAGTACAGGCCTTCAGGTCTCTAATGGTCTTCATGTTCAGTGACTGGCTCCGAAGCTGGAACGACCTGGTGGTCCAGACCGACAGCGGCCTTGAGGGGTGCGCGGTGGCGCAGGCGCTCTGGCCTTTGCAGGCCGTGCGCGAGGCGGGTCGCACCTCTGAGCGCCAACGCTTCCGCCGAGTGGGTTCCCATCTGGCTCGAGAGAGCGCCCTCGAGACGGCGGGCTTCTGTCGGCAGGCGGACGGGGGCTGGACAGTCGCAGCCGCCGAAGGGTTTGATGAAGAGAGTGGTGCTTCCGAGGAGGCGTCAGACTGGGCAGTGGATCAGTATTTTCCCGAGGTGCCCGCTAATCTTCTGAAGTCAGTTTTGCGGCGACTGGTGAGAGTGCATCAGTGGCAACGTTCTGAGGGAATTCTGGTGAAGGAGGCTCGTGCTCTTGTCAAAGGTTTCATTCGTGTTGTAACTAGCTCGCGAGTGTGTGATATGAGGCAGCTTTTGATGTGTGACAATATGTCGGTCACCCTCGCCTTCGGCCGTAGTCGTGCCAAAAACGTTTTGCTTCTCGTTCAGATTCGCGTCTTCCAGGCTCGCTGCTTGGCCAGGAATGTCTTAGGGGCTGTGCGTTGGATCCCTTCCGAATTGAACTTCTCGGATAAGGGTGCTAGGATTTTTGAGAATAGCAGCGCCAGTAAGACGTTAGTGGATGATATTCCTTCGTTTTTGAGTGTCGAAGGCAACGGTTTAAAGGGGACTTCGAAGTGCCCGCAATCCCCGAACCTGTGTAAAGTAGCTGCTGCTGCTTCTGTCTCTCCCCCCTCCCGTTACGTAGACATTTCGCCTCCATGCTTGCCGCGCACTTTCTGTGATCATCCAGATTTCACGAGCCAGAGAGGCGATGGGCCGCCGCAGGCGGTAGGCGATGCTGCCATCGTCGGAGGCTCGGCCGAGCGAGGGCCAGCTGGGGCTCGAGACGCTGGCCAGCCAGAGGGAGGCCACCTTGCGGCCGCCAGACGTCCAGCCGGCGCTGCGCGGCAGGCTGAGTGGCAGGCGCCACGGAAGGGCTCCCTCCGACAACGAGGGTCGCCTGAAGCCCGCGCCCAGGCTGGCAGACGTCGGCGGGGGCAGCAGCACCAGCGGAGATGGGGGGGGCCAGGGCCTGGCGCCGCGCTGGGAGCAGCGCGGAAGCGTACGGGCCGCCAGAGAGGACGAGAGCAGGTGATCACCGTCCTGACGGCCGCGGCCAGGGGCGCCCACCGCCCCCGCAGCGAGGTGCTGGGGCGATGCCGGAGCCGGTCGGCGGGCTTCGACTCTTCGGGGGGAGAGCGCCCGCGAGTGCACGGCGAGGTGGTCGACGGCATGCGAATGGGGCACCTCAGTTTGCTCCTCTTCATGAGCCGGGGCGCCAGCGAGGGCATTCAGATCCTTGCAGGCCTGATGTTTTCGACGGCGGAGCTCTCGAGGGCTGGCCGCTGCGGGCCCCCCCCAGGCCTGCCGCTGCCGGAGGGGCTGGCGGCAGGGGGCCCCCGGCCACAGCTGGCGCAGCTGGTCTCTGACGGTGTGGGCTGGAGTGGCCAGGATGTTGGCTGGCCTTTTCCCCCCGCAGGCCTCGGTCCTGCGGTCGGTCTCGCTGGGCAGCCGCTGGAGGCCGAGCAAGCTGATGAGTCTCAAGGCGCGTGGTACGATTGCGCCTGCAGGTGGCATCTCCCTTTCCTGGAGCCTGCTGTTTTCCCTCTCACAGCGGGTCGAGCGGAGCAGTACCACCCGCAGCGACGTCAGCATCGAGAGGGACTCGCCGCTCTTGCGGTTCATAAGGCCCGTCCAGAGAGTGATGGCCGATGGGCCGAAGGACGAGGTGGTTCGGACGTTCACGTATCTCCAGATTCCCCGGAAGCCGAACTCTTCGCGGGACGAGCCGAGCATCGCAGAGACGATAGTGCAGCACCCGAGGCG